GAAAAGTCTGTTCGCTCATATTAGCCAAAAGACTTGTATCTACCAGATAAAGCCATTTAGAGCCTAAGTAGCACACCAAATAAATCAAAATAAAAAGGCGTCATAAAAGTAAGTGCATGATAACATCCTCGTTTAGGCATTTTTTTTCCTGTAATACTATAAATTCTCACAAACTGAATGAGCAAATACTAAACACATTTGATCACCAACACCCTCGCAGAGAAGCAAAGCAAACCTGTTGCTTTTTCCAATACCAAGCATCAGGCACTCAGAGCAGCAGTAGATGGGACAGCTCTTAACTAAAGCCTGCCTGACAAAGCTGCCAGCGCTGGGTGTTGCACCCTTTTCATGGCAACAGAGGATATTTAGTTTACACTGACCACATAACTACTGCAACCCCTCAGTCTCATCCAGATTCAATGTGTCAGGGCAAGGTTTCTTGGGGAGAGCACCGTTAGTGCTGTTGGTCCAATTATTATTATTTTGGGGATAGAGAGGAAGGACATGGCTGGAGTCCATAAAAACACGTGCTTGCCTGGCGCAGGAAAAGTATCTATTCTGCATACATAAGAATTTGAATACTGTAACTAAGCAGCCAAAAGAAACAGCAACACAAAGCTTTTCTGCTTTTAACATGCCATTGCGAGGCAGAGGCTTTGAGCACTTCTCTTAAGAGACCTCCATCAGGATGTGGGCTGGACAGGGATCTCTAAAGGCTCCCTAAAGTACTCTCTAAAGGCTCTCCAAAACAAGACCACAGCATCAGCATTGGTACACATGCTCCAAACAAACTCAGTACTAGTTGTTCCCCTGCCCCTCAGAGTTTTTGGGAAGAAGCTGGTATTTATGCATCCCAGCCTACCGCCAGCAGAAAGACAACTGCAGTCCTTTAACGTGAGCTACAGATGAATTTAACAGCCTGGGTGAAGATTGATTTCCCTTTTCACCCTAGTAGCAACTGGTGGAAAGGCCAGTGTAACTGTACACCTTAAAGCGGTTCTTTCCTACAGGCAACTAAAATTTCCTAAGGCCATAATGAAAAGTAGCTATTGTGCCTCTAAAAATCAGATGGGAGGCGGGGGTGCTGGATAATTGCAGGAAGAGATTTCCCAGGATATATGTGGCCATAAAATCCCAAATTGTGTTGAAATAGAAATGCCTCTTCCAACCTATTTCACAACCAATGCCTCAGATTTCAGCCTAAGCCCACTTTTACAAAACCAATATTCTTGAACACTCATCAGAAGTAAGAAACGGGTAGGACAGGGTAGTAGAAGACTCTTAGGGGACCTGCCCACACAGGAAATGAGCACAGACCAGAAGAGCATGACTAAATAGTTGAGACTTCAGAAAACGCTGGGCTTCGCAAAAATGACCCCCCAGGATATCTTATTTTAATGTCTTTGGTAGAAAGTCCTTCCTCCCAAGTAGCAGAGACAGGACAGCTCTTTAATCAAGTTCCTGATGGTGTTTGACGCGTGGAGAATTTCACTCCAGCCCTCCTGCCCCCACTGTTATTTCTAGCACGCCTTTGTGCTCTGCTCTGGCTGCTAACCTGGCCCCTGCCCTCACAGCACAAGCCTCAGCACATGGCAGAGTTACCAGCAGGTTTATGATGCATAATTTTATAACTGACATATGAAAAAAACAAAACATGATATATCAGATCAAGGCAATAAAAAGGAGGGCTTTGTACACTATCAGAAACAAAATAAGGGGTAGATGTCCTCAGGAAAACTGCACAAGGACAGAACAACAGTGACCCCTTAGGGGTTTGCACGTGTTTCCTTTCTGCCACCCCTCATCTTATTCTATGTTAAAAGCAGAGAACACATTAAGATTGATTAATTTTATTCATTAATCCACTCAGAAGAGAAGTTCACTGCTTTGGTATTCAGTATACAAGGACCCAGCACAGGAGGGAGTCATGGGACAAGTCAAGCAAGAAGTTCTCTCTCTCATGAGAAAAATGGGGAATCTCTTGGGCTGAGGATTATGAACTGTGATTACTTTCGCAATCCAAGTAACTATCCAAAAAGACCTACAGCAGAAAATTAACTGGGTCTCTTTGGAGCCTGACTACAGCATAAAGATCAAGAAAGGGTGGCCAGTGAGTTGGAACACGTAGCTAAACTTTAAATGCTCTATCCTTGAACTCTGTGCTGAGGGTACAGAGTAAAAGCCTCAACTTCCAACAGCTCTGCTTAAAGTTCAAGGCAACCCTTATCTCTGGCAAGGATAAAACTCTCTTTAAATACCCACACTATAAAGTGCAATGCTAATGAATACTACTTTGATTTTCAGAATTGAACATACCCACTCAGCCTTTACAAACATTTTTATTTTCCTACTACTAAAGGCAAACTTTGCCAACGCATGTTGGACTGAAGCATACGTGAAGCGAAAGCTATATGCTCTGACACTCCTTGACAGATGAGCACATTAGCCTGAGCTAACTCAGGAATTTGCAACGTAGGAAGCCGTTCTTGCCAGCTGCACACACCAAGAGTTTAGGTGTTACAGTCAGACACAGCTGGATTTCTCAGTCTAGCAGCTGATCCTCATGCTAAAAATATCACTTGACATTGGCAACATGTTTTAGTACTATTGGCCTGACAAAAGAGTATCTAAATACTGGATACTTTTTTTTTTTTAAAGCTTTTAGGATTGTCAAATCTTTGGTAATATTTAAAAAGCAAATTATGATCTTTACACAGGTTTCTACAGCTTTCAGTTTCATAAATAACATCACTTGTCTGCAAGATGGCTACCTCCAGCAGTAGCCTTAGATAAGCCAATTCCATCTAAAAAGAACAATTAGGAATGTATTTTCGTAATGTATTTCACAAGGGCTCATCTTGGTAACTTTCAGAGTGGCCGGTTGAGCAACGCGCCAAAACACTTTCCTCCTTCAGCTCTCTGCCTTTTGCCCAGGTATCGCAGGACATTTGTAGACAGGTGATGCATTTACACAGCCAGCATTGTACAGTCCTGGACACCCACTGTGTGAGGGGACAGTGATTTCCCAAAGCTTGCAAAGGCCCTCAGTTGCCTGCAATATCCAAGTTCGTACAGCAAAAGACCTCCTCGTGTTCCTTCTGCAGGCAGCACTGTATTTGTTGATAGGCCTGCACAGGTTTATATTAAGGAACCCCACAGGCACGGATTTCATTACAAAAAACACCATTAGGATACCGAAAAGGAGGGGGGGAAAAAATCTGCAACAGCAATGCACCAAAGTAATTTTTCTTCCCGAAATGACCTCTTGCGGGCTTGGTTCCCTGTTTCACAGGGAATCCGAAACTCAGACCACGTACACACATGCGGAGAGTAAAGGAGAGCGCCGGAGCCCTGCCGGGATCAGAAAACGCCAAAATACACTAAAGCCCTCAAAAATATTAAAAAAAAAAAGGAAAAAGGAAGAAGCGAAGACGTTGGACCTCGGCATTCTTCCTCCCGCAACTTTAGCGGAGCGCTGAGCGGAGGTTTGCGCTGGCGGGGACCCCTTGCACAGTCCCGCCGCTCCCGCCCGGTTCCCCCCGGGATCGCGGAGGGGGCAGAGCCGAGCCGGGCCGGCGGGGGCCCTGCCGGGATCACGGAAAGGGCTGCGGGGAATATCCCGCACATCGTACCTCGGTTGCTGCTGCACCCACCGCTGCCCCCGAGCCGCCGGGAGAGAGAGAGCGGGGCCAAAACACACAGCTGTAGGGAGCCGAGAAAAACAAATCGCGTCAGCTTACCTTTCACGAGCGCCGACATTTTCGCTCTTTAATCAATAAACACTCGGCCAAACACGGAGTGCCCCACACCGGGGGGGTTCCGCCCCGCGGCTGCCGCCCCTGCGGAGGCTGCGGCGGGAACGACGGCGACCCCGGCCTCTCTGGGAGCTCCCGCCCGCCCGCCGCGCTGCCCCTCCGCCCAGCGCTCCCTCCCGGGCCGGCGGGCGGGCGGCGAACGCCGAGCAATTTAAATTTCATCAATGGAAGAGGCGGACCCGCCGCGCCCCGGGTTTCACCACCCCCGACCCTCCCCTCCCTTCTCCTCCCCTCCCCTCCCCGCCGGGCCGCCCGCCCGCCCGCCTCCCCCGGGGGACTCCCGGCGCGGCTCCTCCCCACCCCCGGGGGGGAACAGCGATGGGACGGGACAGGCCGGGCCGGGCCGGCGCGGCCGCCCCGCGCTCCGCCCGCCCCGCGCTGCGGCCGAGCCGAGGGGG